AAGAACGCAATGGTCACCAGAGGGGGGATCAACAATATGGTTTTTCAGTGATGAAAGATCAGGAACAACAGCAGCAAACATGTTAAGACTGTTCGCGCCTATCTGCTCACGTGCCAATCGACATGTATATCCCAAACACTCGGTACCCGCCCTCGTCGTCTTCGATCGTACCACCTTGGGTGCATATCTTCCTTACCTGCCACGCGCATTAGCAAAACCCTTAAAACAACGGAAATGAAGACAGGTGGAAAGGGGGAGGGAGAATAATGAAGCACGATATATATTAGCAGGAGGGAAGCAAGAAGCAGAAAACAAATGGTGGAACCAGACGGGCAGGTCGGGTGGGCAGACCCATAGTGGGAACGTCGGGAAGGCGGGCCCAGGCGACCAGGACGAGCAGGCGAGTTACCCATGCGTAGGTCTTGCATGAATCGCGAGTGTGCGCGATTCCTCAGTAAATCGTGAGACGAGCCAGAGCGAGAGCTCGGAGGCCTCTTGGGCGCTCTTGGAGCCGTCGGAAAAGAAAACTCGAGCAAACGCCAGAAAAGCCAGTGCCGGCGCAACGGCGGCGAAGAGGCGCCGGGGCTCGAGAGCAAACGGGGGCCAGTCCGAGCGCCGGACTTTGCAAGATCCTGCGCAGCCAGGAGTGCATGGACTCGGGCTCGGGCGCAGGATCCTGCAGGATCGATCCTGCAGGATCCTGCGGGATCCGGATCCTGCACAAGATCCTGCACAAGATCCTGCAGGATCCTGCGCAAGATCCTGCAGGATCCGGATCCTGCAGGATCTTGTGGGATCCTGCAAGCCCAGACACTCGCCGATACTCAGGAGGGGAAAAACCACACAGACACAATGAATCGTCGACTCCCGGGAAAAGATGGGAAAATATGGGAAGTAGGGGGGAAGACAAACACCCAGAAGATAGGGTAAAGGATGGGGAACCCTTTTGCTTCTTTGCGTGTGTGTATTTATCTGTGTGTCCAAGAGGGCCCCTTCAGATACGACTGTTCCATCCGCGGCCCCCGAGGTCCCGATCTCTTCCCCAGGGGTGGCTTACTGGGAGCCGGCGGTAAACCCTCAACCTTGGTTACCCCCGGGAACTCGTAGAGCTTCCTCGTGCAATGCGGGCGCGGCAATCTCGCATTCTGTGCGCGAGGGCGCGGTTTCATGGAAGAGAACGTGAAGGAGAAGAAGGAGTGAGGGAAAAGCATCTCTGGGAAATAATAATAAACATACCAGGCCCAGTTGAGGCGTCTGGACACTTTGAACTAGCGCACCTGTTGATTTCCTTCCGATGGCTGCGCCGAACAGCGTAAAGAAAACCATCACCATCTCTAAAGAATTAGCAGAGTATGAATCGTTTTTCGGCCCTAGCGCTGATAGCAGACCGAGTTCAGGCGTCTGATACTTTGAACCAGCAAGCCTGGGTATTTCCTTCCGATTGCTGTGCCAAACAGCTTGTAGCTCATCCGCGTCTCGAGTTAAGCCAAGAGAACCAATACCATCTCTAAAGCACAATACGAATAGTGTCGGCTCCAGCGCTGATAGCAGACCGATTTCTGGCGTCTAGATACTTCAAACTAGCGCTCATGATGATGTTATGCCGATTGCGGTGCCGAACAGTTCTGTAGCTCATCTGCAGCTCCATTTAGTCCGAGAAAACCATCACCATCTCCAGATAAATAGCAGCGTACGAATAGTGTTTCGGCCCCAGCGCTGATAGCAGGCCGAGGTCAAGCGTCTAGATGCCTTGAGCTAGCGCGCCTCATGATGTTCTTCCGAGCTCTGTGCCTAAGAGCTCTGTAGCTGATCTGCAGCTCGAGTAAAGTCAAGAAAATCATCAATATTTCCCAGAAGTTAACAGAGTAGGAATAGCTTTTCGGCCCCAGCGCTGATAGCAGACTCGTTTCAGGCGTGAGCATGTTTTCGATCTAGCGCGCCTGATGATTAATTTCCGATTGCTGTGCCGAGCAGCTCTTTAGCCCATCTGCAGCTCAAGTTGAATCATGAACACCATCATAATTCCCGCCAAAAAAATAACAGAGTACGAATAGTGTTTCGACTCCAGCGCTGGTAACAGACCGGGTTCAGGCGTCTAGATACTCCAGACTATCGCGCTTGATGGTTCCCTTCCGATTGCTGCACCGAAGAGCTCTGCATCTCATCTGCAGCTCGAGTTAAGTCAAGAAACTCATCATCATCTCGAAAAACATAGTAGAGTACGAATAGTTTCGTGGAGCTACCTCGCGTAGCAGACCGAGTTCAGAGATCTGGATACTCCAGTCGAACCCGCTTGACGATTCTAGATCGATTAGGTGTTTGTACCAGCTCTGTGGCTAACCTAGAGCTCGAGTTGAGTTAAGAACGCCAAAAACACCTGTCAAGATGACTCGAAGGAGCCGATCCCGCCTGAGTGCTTTTTGGCAGTAGTAGGTACCCGATCGAGCTGATAGCAGACAGAGATCAGGCGTCCAGCTACTTTCAACTAGCGCGCCTGATGATTCCCTTCCGACTGCTGTGCCACCACTCTGTAGCTCATCTCCAGCTCGAGCTAAGCCAAGAAAAGCATCACCATCTCCAAAAAAAACAGAGTCCGAATCGTTTTTTCAGCCCCAGCGGTCATAGCAGACCGAGATCAGTGTCTAGATACTTCAGACTATCGCGTTTGGTGATGCTCTTCCAATTGATGTGTCAGAGAGCTTTGTAGCTCATTTGCAGCTCGATTAAAGCCAAGAACCTCATCATCATCTCAAACAGTAGTCGAGCACGAAGAGCTTCGCGGACCTAGCTCGAGTAGCAGACCGAACGCAGACCTCTAGATGGTTGAGACAAACGCGCCTAATCATTCTGGAACGATTAGGTGTGCATACTAGCTCTGTAGCGCTACTGAAGCTCGAGTTAAGTGCAGAAAACCGACAGCACCTGCCAACATGACTCGAAACAGCCGATCCCGCCCCGATGCTTTTTGGCAGTCGTATTTACCCGATCGAGCTGAGATTAAGACGGCGAACGGGAATAATATCGAATATGGGTGGAACAAAAAACTAGAGCTCAAACGAATTGTTGAATTTCGAGATATCGAATTTAAACAGGTTTTATTTGGTAGAAAAATCCGTCGATTTTTTGCCAACTAGCCCCCCAGCGCGCCGGAATTACTCTTCTAGCTTCATCGCTAACGCTCTTAGGGAAGCTCTACGAGTCACTTCGTCCCTGGGGGCCCCCGTGCCCGGCGACGGGCCCCAGAGGCCCAGGTACGAACACACCGCCGGATGGAAGGAACCATCTCCTCGGATTGCTGGGCTGCGCAGGATCCCAGGCATCGAACGCAGAGGAAAAATCACGACGTTTTTTTTCGCAGTTCTCGGCCTCCAGGGGCCCTTCCCGGGCCTCGGGGCCGTCGAAAAACGGCTCAGGATGCAAAGCCGGTCCTGGGGACTGTGTCGAGACTTCCGGGGAGCCCGTCTTTCACAACCTACCAAACCACCCCAACCCAACCCGAAGGCCTCAATTTACCCTCCATTTCCACTGGGGGGGGGGTCGGGGAACATCGAAAAAAAACACGTATGGAACCCATACCCCCCCAACCCGAAATTCGGGTCTTCGGGTTGGGTCGGGGTGGTCTGGTAGGCAGTCAGTCTTGACAAAAGCACGACGTCGGACCTCTGGGATCCTGCCAGGCCCGGCCGGCCCGGGTCGCCCGGAGCGCCCCGGGCCCGCAGCTCCCCGAGGGCGGAGCGGCGACGGCGAGGGCCCGCGCACGGCGGGGGGGACGGCGCAGGCCGCGATGGCTCGAGCAAGCTTTCTGTCGGGCGTGTCCCCCTACAGGGGGATCCGACGAAAAACAAGAAATACCCCCAAAAGATCAAACAAATACACACAAAAAAAGAGTCCCCAGACTATTTCTTGGCTATTTTTAGAATTATGTTTGGTGTATTTTTCATTATTCGTTGAAAATCCCCCTGTAGGGGGACAGGCCCGACTTAAAACAAGCTTACTGTGAAAGGTTGTGCTCGTAAATCCGGTCGGCCGCACGTCGGAGGCCCAAAAGTTGACACCATCGCCAACATCGGCGGTGTGCCTCCACCGAAGGAAGATGACCCCGATCTCGGCGTTGGTGGCAATGTTCGGGCTTCCCAGGTGGCCGAACTCTTACCACTAACACCGAAATCTAGGATCATCCTCCTCTGGTGGAGGCCCCCCCCTGCGCTGGTGTTGGTGTCCACTTCCAAGCCTCCGAGCACGCTGTGTGAGCCGAGCCTCTCGATCTGCAGAGGGTGTTCGAAGCACCTGCGCTCGAGCCCTGCGGGCCGGGCTGTGAAAAAGAACTTGCTGGGGAAAAGAACAGCTGTCAGACGCCCGATCTGTCCCCTCAGACTCTGCTTGTGGACGACAATCCATGGACAGGAAGCGCGATGCCAAAGATTTCCAGATGTCGAGGACATGCTCAAAACATTGCTTAAGCATGCTAGAGAACATGTGTCCAACATTTTAACCACATGTTCCAATACATCTAAAACAGTAAACAATCCGATGTTAGGAGGAGGGGGAGGAGAAGCAGGAGGAGGAGGAGGAGGAAGTAGGTGGAGGAGGAGCAGCAGGAGGAGGAGGAGGAGCAGGAGGCAAAGGAGGAGGAAGTAGGAGGAGGAGGAGGAGGACGAGGAGGAGGAGGAGGAAGTAGGAGGAGGAGGAGGAGGAGGAGGACGAGGAGGAGGAGGGAGGAGGAGGAGGAGGAGCAGGAGGAGGAGGAGGAAGTAGGAGGAGGAGGAGGAGGAGGAGGAAGAGGAGCAGAAGGAGGAGGAAGAGCAGGAGGAAGAGGAGGAAGTAGGAGGAGGAGGAGGAGGAAGTAGGAGGAGAAGGAAGGAGGACGAGGAGGAGGAGGAGGAGGCGGAGGAGGCGGAGGAGGAGGAGGAGAGGCCCACGGCCTGCAAGCAACGCCCCCTCGCGCGCCGCGCCCCCTCTGCGGGGCCCTTCTGTGGCGGGCCCGTCGTGCGCCCCGGCAGGCCGCGGGGCGGCGACCCGACGGCTGCGTGGCGGAGGGCGCCGCGGCGGCGCCGGAGAGCCAGGAGGGAAAAAAAAAAACACCGACACAAGGAACTGTCGATCCCCCAGAATGGCAGATATGGGATGTGGGGGGGGGAAGAGGCGAAAACCCCGAAAACACAAGAAGGTGTGGGGGGAATCCTGTGATCTGTGCCCATTTGTTGGTGTGTCCCATGGCCCCTTCAGAGAGCCCCGGCCTCCTCGAGGCGCCGCCGTCGGCCTCACGTCCCGTCGCCGGCTTCGCCCGCCGCCGCCGTCGTCGTCGTCGTCGTCGTCGTCGTCGTCGGCGTCGGCGTCGGCGTCGGCGTCGGCGTCGGCGTCGGCGTCGGCGTCGGCGGCGTCGTCGTCATCGTCGTCGTCGTCGGCGTCGTCGTCGGCGTCGTCGGCGTCGGCGTCGTCGGCGTCGGCGGCGTCGGCGATGGCGATGGCGCCGGCGGCGTCGGCGGTGGTCGGGGGAGATCTTCGGAGGTGGCCAGCCTTCCCAGGCATCCTCCGCCTTTTCGCCTCCGCCTCCATGTCTCCTCGTCGTCCTCATCGTCCTCCTCTGGCCAGCCTCCACCCATCAGGCATCCCCCGCCTCTTCGCCTCCGCCCTTTTTTGGGGGTTTCGGGTAGGCGTCGACCCATTGGCAAAATTCGCTGGGGGGGATAGGCGGGAGATGGGGGCAGAGTAGCTACAGCAGCGGGAGACGTCTGTGTCAGAGAACTCTCCTCCAACTCTTCCGTCTTCCACCGAGGAGAATCTCACACGACAGCTCGCCGCTTGCTTGAGTCCCACCTCCAGCCCAAACGGCGAAGATGTGTCTGGGGCATCCCTGCAGAACCTGCTAGGGGTGTGTGCCACCCATGCAGCGCGCCATGGGTTGCGGGATCCACAGGTTGAGCCAAATGGGCGTCGCCCATGGGTTACTGCGTTGGACTTACCCATCCACGGGTTGCGCGATCCATGGGTAGCGCCATCCTCGGGTGCCGCCATGGGTTTCGCCATACATGGATTGCGATATAGGGTGCGCACTCGGCGGCAGAGAGCAGGACGGCCTGCCAGTCGTTGGGCCATAGGTCGCGCACTCGCCGGCAGAGGCTGGAACGGCTTGCTATTTTGGTTGCACCAGAAGCTGGGGGCACCCGGCGGCCGAAGTAACACGGCCGCCTAACAGGCACGGTCAGTCCGTCAGTCAGTCCGGAGCACCCCACGAGAAACCAAATTCGGATGGAGCCCGACGTCAGTGATTGACTTCTTGTCAGCGCTTGTGGGGTGCATGGAGTTTCCGGAGGCTTCCGGGGATCTCTGGGGACCTATGGACCGGGGGTGGACAGGACCCCCAACAGTGACACGTCGATTAGTGAATTGTCCGTTTTCGGTTCTCGAGATGGCGCCGTGGCCGTTATTTTCCAGGCTTGCGCCCGCCAGGTTTGGGCCCCAGGTCGTTTTCACTAAACCACGTTTTACTAAAGGGGGGTCTGTCCATCCCCGAATGGAGGCCTCTGGAAACCTACATTTGATCCTCTCTCCTTGCTCCTCCTCCGTCCTCCGCTCCTCCCCGTCGAGCCACCCTCGCTGGCCACCGCGGGCGCTCCCCAGCAAGTGTGGCCCAGCCGCCTGCCGGACGACGCCACCCAGCGGGGCCGGTGTCCACATCAGGGAGCACGACTGCCCTCGCACATTTCGAAGCGGGCCGGTGATGTTCGGGGTTTGGAGGCGACCGCGGGACATTGACGAACGAGCAACACACACCCATACCCACAGGGGGGTCGTTGGGAGGAGGACTGGCTATGGGTCTGGGTGCGGGTTGTCGGACCCTGGGGAACGCTCCCGTTTGAGCGGGGACCCCCACCCGACAACACGCACCCATAGCCCTCTCCGATCCCCCTATGGGTATGGGTGTGTGTTGTTGGTTCGTCAGACATGACCTGCCAGGGGGGGGCTACCAACTCCCGTCATAGGTGTAATCGATGGGCTTTTGGGAGGCCTCGACTAGCAGTGCCGCAATGAGACGCCAATGACCGAAAGCCCCGGATAGTAAATCATCCCCCCTCCTTCACGATTGAGGATTGATTATTCCCTGCCAAGACAGAGTTGGACGGGGGAGAGTGGCGGCAAGGCCGAACTTTGTTATCGCGGGGGAAGGTTGCGGATGGAAGTTGTTACCTTATTAGGTTGAGTAGCAACATCAAAAGTGCGTCGCATGGCAATCGGGGGCGATGGGATTCTCACCATTTCACCTTTCCCAAGTCACGAACGTGTGGCAGGGCTTTGGGGTTCTCACTGTCTCAGCCCTTTCCGAGTCAGGAGCGCGTGGCGGGGCCATGAGATCTCACGATTCCAGCATTCCGAAGTCACGAACGCGTGGCAGGGCCATGAGATTCTTACAATTTCACCTTTCCCAAGTCACGAACGTGTGGCAGGGCTTTGGGGTTCTCACTGTCTCAGCCCTTTCCGAGTCAGGAGCGCGTGGCGGGGCCATGAGATTCTCACGATTTCAGCATTCCGAAGTCACGAACGCGTGGCAGGGCCATGAGATTCTCACCATGCCACCTTTCCCAAGTCACGAACGTGTGGCAGGGCCATAAGATTCTCACAGTCTTAGCCCTTCCCGAGTCAGGAACGTGTGGCAGGGCCATCGGATTCTCACGATTTCAGCTTTCCGAAGTCACGAACGTGCGGCAGGGAGAGGAGCGCCAAGGATCTCAAGAGCGCGGGGCAGCCTTAGGATCTCCCCCGGGTGTTCTTATCAGGACGGTTCGGTTAAGCCATGAGGACATCACCGCGCCCCGCGCCAGCATCGCCTCTTTTGTTGGGAGTCTAGAGGGAATGTGGAAACGATGCCGCAGCGCAGTTATTACGCACACTGCCAATGCCATCAGCAGCACACTCACCGACATGCGTGTTCTGCTTCATCATGACCCGCAACCTCATTTGATGTTCATGGTCACTTATGGTCACCATTCGCACCACAACCATCTCTATCGTGGCTTCCGTTTTTCATTCTAATTACATTCCTTACGGTCACGATGTTCAACATCAGAGAGGCGGTCAGCAACCCTATTCTCATCATCGTTCCCATGCCCATGGCAAGCATCAACAATAGCCCCGTTATAATTCGTACTCTTCACCCACGGTCGTCATCGTCGCACTTGCTATTTTGGCTCGCAGCGACTGCGAGGAGACCCACTCTAAAGGTCGTCTCGGGAGGTTCCTGAAAGTCCCTGGAGATTTGGAAGCCTCCGGAGGCCCTCGGGAAGCTTCCACAGCCCCCCAGACGCCGCACAAGGACCGAAAACGTGCAACCATCTATCCAGTGGCTTGCTGCAACTTCGCCACCGTGCCAACCCAGCATTCTGGGTGACGATTGTTCGAGGGGGCACGGAAGGCCGTCACATGTGACACCTCGTGTCCCCAGGTGTGAGAGAGCCTTGATGAGGACGCTGAAGAATTATGCGGATGGTAAGGGTGATGAGGATGAGGTTGAGGACAGTCAGGATAATGAGGATGATGAGGATGTCGGTTTTGATATTGATCATCAGTATGATGATGGTGGTGATGATAATAGTGGTGATGCTGGTAACGATGACGGTAATGGTGATGATGGTGATGGAGATCAAGGTAATTATGGTGTCGATGGTCATGATGGTGATGATGTTTTTTATATATATATATATATATATGTGTTGTTGCTGATGATGAGATGCAGATCAGCATTATGACGACGACGAGGAAGGGGAAGAGGAATAGCAGCAGCAGCAGCAGGAGCAGAGGGAGTAAGAGCAAGACCGTCACGTGTGACACCTTCAATGTTTCCACTTGAGGAGCTCTCATGAAACTCATTTGGGCCGTCTTCGGGCTGTCTTGGCCTCCTGTGGGGCTGGTCTTGGGGCTCACTTGGGCTGTTGTTGGGATCTCTTGTACCGTCGAAGGGTCTTCTAATATCATCGTGGGGCTCTCTTGCGGGCCTCCTCTTGGGCCGTCTTGGCACCATCTTGGAGGCTTCGGGCCGCCTGGAGCTGACAGAAGCCCGGAAAGGGGAGAATGCGACAATCTGTCGCGGACCCTCGAGAAGTGAAAGATGTTTGCCTTTCGGACCCTTCGTTGGGCTTCCGTTTGCGGCCGTGTTGGCCCCTCCTGGATGCAGATTGGGCCGTCTTGAGGCCCTACTGGGCCTCCTGGGGAGGGGGTCCGCCGCCTGGCTCCAGCCAGCCCGCAGCCGCGTTCCGTCTGACCCAGACGTCCGCCGAAGCGATTTTTTCCATCCGCGGCCCCAGAGGTCCCGACACCTTCCCCAGGAGTGGCTTTTCGTCCCGGATTCTTCAGGGTTTAGGGTTTACGGTTTAGGGTTTAGGGCTTCTCGGGCGCGCAGCGGCCGACAGTCAGGGCAAGGCTGCCCCCCCTTCGGCAGGCTTGATTGGGGGGGCGTTTAGCCGACCCGATCAAGCCTGCCGACGACGCAAGATCTGCAACAACTCCCCCCCCCCCGGCCGCACGGCCGGCGACCACCCAAACTAAAGCCTTTTAGGGTTTAGGGCCGCTGGCCCCTGAATTCCCAATGGGCGGCAGCGGGGAGGATTCTGCGGCGATCCCAAGCGTTCCAAATGCTTCCCAGGCGCTCCCAGGCGCTCCCTCGCGGCTCCAGACGCGCCCGGGAGCGCCCTGGGGCAGTTCCCAGGCGCGCGCAGGAGCGTGTCCACAGGCTCCCAGCTGCCCCCAGCCGCTCGGCGTTCCCAGGCGCCCCCTCTGCGCCTCCAGGCGGCGCCAGGCGCTCCCAGGCGCTACCAGGCGCTCCAGGCCCACCTAGGCGCGTCGCAGAGGCTCCCAGGCGCGCCCAGGAGCGTCCAGAGCGTCCCACACGTGTTTTACGCGTCGCAGAAGCATGGAACCTGGCCCGAGGCTCCAAAGTTGCCGGGTTTGGGGTGTTGTATTCGTTGAGGATCAGGGGTGAGTTTAGCTTTGAATTGCGATTCCCCAAAGCGGGGGGAGGCAGCCTCAGGCTGCCATGGCGACCCACTCTGGCTACCTGCGGACACTTCTCAGAGATGCCCTGTCTCTCCTAGACGGCGACGGTGCTGCGCGGTGGGTGGGCAGAAACACAACGAGGTGCTTGGGTTTAGGGTCTAGGGCTTCTCTGAGCGCAGCGGCCGACAATCCAGGCAATGCTGCCCCCCCTTCGGCAAGCTTGATTGGGGGGGCGGTTCGCCGACCCGATCAAGCTTGGCAAAGGGGGCGGGAGGTGTGACATCTTCCCACCCCCGGCCGCAAGGCCGGCGACCTCCCAAACTAAAGCCTTTTAGGGTTTAGGGCCGCTGGCCCCTAAATCCCCAAATGCGCTCCGAGCGCTCCCAGGCGCTCCCTGGCGCTCCCAGGTGCTCCCAGGCGCTCTCAGGCGCTCGCAGGCGCTCCCAAGCGCTCCCGGGCGCCCCCAGCGCTCCCGGGCGCTCCCAGGCGCTCCCAGGCGATTTCAAGCGCTCCCAGGCGCTCCCAAGCGCCCCCAGGCGCTCCCAGGTGTCCCAGGCGCAGCCAGGTGCACGAATCCAAGCGCTCCCAGGCGCTCCCAGGCGCTCCTAGGCGCTTCCAGGCGCTCCCAGGCGCCCCAGGCGCTCCCAGGCGCTCCCAGGCGCTCCCACTCCCAGGCGATTTCAGGCGCTCCCAGGCGCTCCCAAGCGCCCCCAGGCGCTCCCAGGCGCTCCCAGGCGCTCCCAGGCGCTTCCAGGCGCTCCCAGGCGCTCCCAGGCGCCCCCGCGCGCTCCGAAGCGCTCGCGGCACGCTCCCAGGCGCTCCCAGGCGCTCTCTGGCGCTCGCAGATGCTCCCAGGCGCCCCCAGGCGCTCCCAGGTGCATCCATAAACCCCTTAGAGAGCCCCACACGTGTTTTTACGTGTCGGAGGATTAGGAACCCCATCCGAGGACGCAAAGTCCCCGGGTCTAGGGTGTTATATTCTTTGAGGATCAGAGAGCGTTTATCGTTGAATCGCGACTCCCAGGGGGCAGCCTACGGCTGCATGGGCGACCCAGTCTGGCAACCAGCTGACGCTTCTTAGAGATGCCCTGTCTCTCGTAGACGGCGACGGTGATGCGCGGTGGGTGGGCAGATGCACAACGAGGTGCTTGGGAATTTAGGGTCCACTCGCCCAAACTTGAAGCTGGTTGGACGCGTCCCACCCACCCATGACCCAAGACATATTGATCTGAAAACGACGACGACATCGATGACGAAGACGACGATATTGATCTCAAAACGACGACGACGACGACGACGACGACGACGACGACGACGACGACGACGACGACGACGACGACGACGACGACGACGACGACGACGACTACACAGTCGCGCAAGGACTTCTGGGAAGTCCCTGCAACAGCGATGCGGCCCGCGCTCGCGACGACGCGATGTGAAGAACAACGCATATCGACACGAGTCCCTGTGTGTCTCAGGGACGCCGCCCAGCGGCGGTGAGATTGCACGGAGTGGCTGCGCAAGGGTCGCTGCAACGGCGATTCGGCCCGCGCGCGCGCCGACGCGATTTGAAGACAGCGCGCGTGGACGCGAATACCTGTGCGTGGCAGGGACGTCGCCCAGCGGCGGTGATATTGCATGGAGCGGCTGCGCAGGGCGCGCGGGATAGCTCGTTGCCTCGAGGAGAGGGAACCGCATATGCATCCTCGGGGCTGCGGCGCGGCGCGCAAAGGCCGATGCAAGGGTGATGTGCAGCGCCCGCGCGACGCGACGCCACGAGCTCCCCGCAGCCCCTTGTCGACGCCTGGGCGATGCGTAGGCCAGGTTGACACGAAGTGCGCGGGATGGTTCGTTGCTTGGCGAAAGAGACCCCGTGTTTGTATCCTTGGCGCCGCGAGGCGATGCGCGAAGGCCGATGCGCCGATGCATGGGCGATGCGACGCGCGCGCGAAGAGACACAACGGGTAGCCCCCCCACCCCAGCTGAACAGCAATGTGCCACTGCCTTGGCGATGCATGGCCTAGCTCGACGCGAGGCGCGCGGGATAGTTCGTTGCTTCTGCGAGAGGGCCCCCCCTCAGCATTCTTGGGACTGTAGCGCAGCGCGCGACGGACGATGCAGTGGCGATGCGACGCGCGCGCACGCGAAGCGACGAAACGGGTAGATCCTCGCGGCAGGCTGCCGACGCAATCGCGATGCGTCGCACAGCTCGGTGCGTCCGCCAGGGGATCGCGCTTCGCGACGTCCGCCGAATGCGGTTCGAGTGTCTTGGCGCCCCGACCGACCTCGCTCGCCAGCGCGCCACCTGCCGCGCTCCTCGATCCCCGCCATGGACGCGCTGGGACCCCTCGGTTTTCCCGCCCGCGCTGCGCCCGGCGCCACCGGTCAGAAGCGCGCCTTCGTGCCCCCAGCGACGGGGGAGCGCCGCGAGAAGCTGCACCGGTCGGACCACGTTTGCTTTGCCCTTCTGGACCACGAGGGGGAGTCCGTCGTCGACAAGGCGCGGCGGCGTGGAAGAAAGGAGGGGTCGCGTGCGCGAGCATTGGTGCATTCCCCTGGGGCAGGGGAACGATCGCGCGTGAGCGCCCTGCTGTTCCACGCGGTGCGTCGCGCCAGTTGCCTGCGTAAGCCACCGCGTCAAAACGCCATTCCTGAGACTTCGGGGCCACGGATCTGCGTGAAGGGTGCGCCGCGTGATTTGCAAAAACTCCCAGAACACCATTCCTGGTTCTCCGAGGGCACGGATCTGCGTGAGGGGTGTGCCCAAATGAGGGGCGCGGAAAGGGCGGCGCAAGGGCGCGTGAAGGCATTTTAGGATTTTAATATTTATAGGCTCTCAGTTTTAGGGTAACCCTCGATGGCTCCCGGGCCCGACAACGGGCCCCAGAGGCCGAAATCATATATAAAAAAACGCCAGATTGAACGACTCATGTCCTGGGGCTTCTTTGGAGAAGGCCTTTTCCTTCTCATATCCCCCGTTCGCCGCCGGCCCACAGCACCTCCCCTCCCCCCACAGGAACCCGCCAGCGGCCTCACCCTCGCCGCGCGCGCCGAGGGCGCCGCGGCGGCGCCGGAGCGGCAGCGGGCCGCCCAGGGCCAGGCGCCCCCCACCTGGCACCGCCTCCCTGTTTCCTCCCCTCCCGCCCCGCCCACCACGTCCGCTGTCTCCCTTCCCCTCCCTTCCCAGTGCCCCGCAGGTCCCTCCCCCCCGCCGCCCCCATTTTGTAGCCCACCCGTGCGTCCCCTCCCCCTCTGCCCAGATCTGCGCTCGCCCGTTCCCTGCTGCTCCGCCCCACCACTCCCGGCCCCCCGTCCCCAGCTGCATCCCTCCACCCTCTCCGTGCGCGTGCCGACCGTGCTGGCACGCGAACTCGCCGTCGCTCCCCCATCGCCTCACCCCTCTCCCCTCTCCCCCGCTCCACCCTATTCCCCTCTCGTCGCCACCATATCTGCCATTTCGTCACCATTACTGTTTGTCCCCTCCTCGCCTCTCCTCCTATGCCTTTCTTCCCCCCTCCTTCCCCTCATCGTGTACTCCTTGCACATATGCCTCCTCCTCCTGCTCCTCCTCCTCCTCCTTTTCCTTCTCCCATTTCTCCTCCTCCTCCTCCTCCTCCTCCTCCTCCTCCTCCCCCTCCTCCTCCCCCTCCTCCTCCTCCTCCTCCTCCTCTTCCTCCTCCCCCTCTGAGCCTCGTGATGGGGTGCTCTGGAGGCCGCCGGGGCCTTTTCGAAAATCCTTGGGGCACCTCGGGCCAGGGCACTTCCAGCAACACCCGAGGTGGGGGAGGTCGGGGGACGGCGGCTCCAAGGGGCGGGGGCGAGGAGGGGGAGGGCCAGGAAGAAAAAGGGGCTAGGAGGAGAAACGGGGCAAAGAGAAAGATTTTCCCCCAGGGGATAAAACATACTTCTGTTAAAGAACCGCGAGCCTCCTCCTCGCGGGCGGCGACACGCTGCCGCAGAGCCTCCAGGTCAGGCAGCAGGCCCTTTTCCGACGAGCGGAAGTAGATCGCCCGCTGCTAAGGCTGTTGTGCGACAAGCATCCGCTCCTGCTCCACAGCACTTAAGATGTGGAGCACAACACCTGGGGCTCGATTCGACTGTGGGTGCAGACCCCTGAGCATACGGCCGAGCCGACAGCGAGAGGCAGACGACTCGGGACAGCTGCGGCATCGCTTCTCAGGGAGACCACTGCGGCGATCCTGGCTGTAAGCACCGCAGCGTCGGCAAAGCACGAGAGATGGTCCAGACGATAGTCTAGCAAAGACAAGGTCGTGGCCATGGTGTATCATGCAGAAACTTAAAATTTGCACGCATACCAGGACATCCGCGCATGTCGAGACGTACAGCAGTGGTGTTGCACACGCGCTTATGACAATCATGACATATGAATGTGCCAAGCGCGCCATGCACAGCCGCCCAAGCGTGCCAACGATCAGCGCCCGTGCGCCCAGGCCTCTGGACCCTCTGCTTTTCAGGGAACTGGGCAAACGGAGAATGGGGCAAGACAGCCCCGATCACACGGGCCACGGCTCGGGCCTTCACGACCAGGGTGTCAACATCAGCCAAAACATCGGGATCCTTTTAGGGGTGCATGGAAATCGCGTCATTTGCGCACTTATCGGCTAAGAAGATTCCACGTGCAATCCTACGTTTGTCGTCGGGCAAAGCATCAATTTCATCTGTACTGCGATGGGCCTTAGCGTGGCTAGCAACACCTACATTCTGCGTTCTTCACACTGTAATAACCACGACGCAGTCCAGCATACTTAGACTTGCCACGCACCTGCTGTGCCACTGTTTGGTTGTGAAACCTAACCACGCCTAGACAATCAGAGCGCACGGCAATCATCCTGCGAAAAAGGAAGGCTAGGGCACACACCGCCATCTGCTCTCCTGCCCGGGGGGGTTGTGGGAGGCTCGGCCAGACGGGCCCACGGAAGCGAGCCACGACCTCCTCCGAGTCAGGGGCAAGAAACATTCCCGCATAGGCAGCCCTTGACAACTCTCGAAGCGGGGAACGAGTGCACGAACCGTCAACCACGGCGTCCGAAGCCCCCTCGAGGACCGAAACCTGGGTCAAGGGCTGCCCGTACGGGCCCAGAAGCTCAGGATAAAGCTTGTCGGCAGGAGGAGGGAGGACACACGAGAGGTGCAAGAAGACAAGCCTAGTCCACAGCAGGTCAGACGCACCGGCCTCACGCGCCTCACGAGTCACATCCTCAGACACTATATCCTCTCTCGCCCCTCGAACTTCAGGACACTGACAACATCAGAGTCTGCGGTGCAAATTGTTTGCTGCACCGCACAAAGGACACTGTGGATCGACATCACAGCCAGACTTTCACAACCTATCATTAGTATATACAGCCTCGGTGAAGACTGAAGCGATCGCATACTTCTGCCGAGGAGTGAACTTCTTACTGGTACACACGAATGCACGCACAACGTCAGCACATACACGCCTATCACTTCGCTCGCTCTTGCCGCTGACCAACATGTACATGTCGCGCTCGTGTTTACGCTGCACACCTTCACGGAGTGGAGAGCTCATCATAGTAGGAGATTTGTATAGGAAAGATAACTCAACTCCTCGATCATCGATCCACTCCACACCATGCTTAGGCTGCCATTCGATGCGCTGCAAACAGAGGACCATGCTAGCAATCGGCCCCCTGGATCGACGCCATGTGCTATGTTCATCAAGCTCACGGTCAATCACGGCACACATTCGTGCAAGCTCCTGTATCATGAACAACGTGCGTTCAGGTGCAACAGCGGCCTTCCATACAGCACTCGCCCACATCATAGCTGGTGCCACACTTGCATCAGCCATGGGATCGCCATGAAGCACGCACTTGGACACCAAAGAAGCCCCTCGATGCGTCGGTGCACGAAAACTTTAGAGCGTAACCCGAGCTCGCTTAAGTTCATGATCTGGCATGCCCAGCACTGCGCTGCCGTATGCCTGCGCTGGTTTCAGATCAGCAGAGTGGACAATGCCCACTCGGTGCTTTCCGTGATTCAACCACTTGCGAAAACGGAGAATTCGAGAATGCCGAAGTTTGAAAGTTTGAAACCGTCCACGTCTTTTTTTCGAAGGGCGTTCGGAGCGTTCCTAGCTTGCCCAGGAACGAAATCAACCCCCAAATTGAGCGACGCATTCGTGACGGAGCCTGCGGGGAGACCACGACGACGAAGTTGAACGGCTGAGGCTGCTGCTAACGACGGGCTGCTTGCCACCGTGATAGTTTTCGACTCCGATTTCTGTGTTCGAAGATCTTGGTTAAACATTTCATGAACATCAGCTGCTGCATCGGGTACGACTCGAATAAGTGTTTGCCTACCACAGACAGCCATGATCGTGTCATCACCGACATACGAAGATAAGAGGATTGACGAATCCTGCCACTTGCTCACAAAGTTCTCGGAAGCACGGATGGTATACACCTTAACAAAAGCGTCGTTACATATGCCGCCAGCTGGCAGGCAACTCGTGGCAAACAGCGCCACGGGGTGAAAAGACATGCCCAAACGTACAAGCCGAGGAGATCGCCAGAGGTTGAACATCGCCTTGACGATTACCCCTGGGCTTACCCACTGATAGGCCTGAGCCCTCAAAATATCCAAATCGAAGAACTCATAATATTTCTTACCGCCCCACTGGACCCCCATGAAGACCTGATCTTGAGACGATGCAACCCCGAGGACGGCAGCCTGAGCCCACACGCAGGACTCTGCGCTCTTGCTTGCACCAAAGGCCCAGCACGCGCTCCCGGTAGAGGCAGAAAAGGGGTCTAGCTGCGGGCGTCGCAAACGTTCCCAGATTCGCACAAAACTAGCCAGCAACAAAATAGCACGGTGACCACCGGCAGGCTTGTCGATGGAGAAAAACCGTCCACATGAAAGGCTTCGGGAACATGCCAAGTTGTTCCACCGCCTCGTAAGTAGTACTCAGGGTGAACACGCCAGCATCCCCAAGGAGAGAGATGTGCCTCGGATGGAACTCATCCAAAGTAGAAGCTGCGCAGCTAGAAAACCTGCGCGACCCCCATCGAATCTCATCCACTGAAGCTCTGGGGAAGCATTCACGATCTGGTACTGTGGTGGTGGGCACCTGGACGGTAGCTCGCCATTGTGTCTTCAACGACTCGACCTCCGCATCCAAGACTGCGTCTGGACTGCTCGAGAAAATGCCTGGCATCTTCTCAAACACGATCGGGCACCACTGCTGCTGAAGGCGAGTAATATTGTGCACTAACTTAGCTGATCCCTTCAGTGCCTTAGCACACCACTCGTTTCAAGAAGTCGTGCGTAGCTTATCTAACTGCTTGGTGGCCGTGTCAAACTCAGCTCGTAGCTGATCTCGAAAACATGTAGCTCTCGGCCACCATGGCGACGAGAAATTGATGTCGGGTCGGCCGTGAGATGGGGTGATCCAAGGTCGCCGCCAACTCCCGCTCAGCGTCACCAAGAAAGACGGCCCAAGCACTATTTAGCTGCGCCCATGCTGCCG